AAAGTCATAGTACATCTGCCTGAGAGGCAAGGAACTAACAGTCTGCAAGCGTGGGGGGGGGGGGGGGGGGGTATGTGAGTGTGCTACACATTTTAATGTTAGTCAATCACATACTGACATGTCTCCAATTCTGACCATTAAAACAGAACTTATTGTGAGGCATGTCAGTACAGGCAGGTGGCCATAGGTTACCATCCCAAATGATCACTAGTGTGTTTTTGTGCCCTTGCTATAAGTGTATGGTTAATCTACTTAGGTTTTGGTGCAGTGTGTCTGTGCGTTTGCTTTACTGCATCTAGTCTGTTTTGCCTGATACTAATATTTTATTCCTAACTTAATTTAGATCTTGTATTACTTTCGTTGGTTAGGGTCATATTCTGTTTTGCTGTCATCTATCACTACTTCAGGACTAGTGGAGGTTCATGGCCTCCAGACCATTGCCAAATAATGGTCTGTCTACAGTAAGGCCCAGACCCATTTTCAGCATTTTGGCCCCTGAGTTTGCTACACTCCATTATCTGCTATTTGTGGAAGATCAAGTGGCAGTTAGTGTTTGATCACCCAGGACTAGCGTTTTTTTTTTTATGATGCCCTTTCAAGTATCTTTTCTTGGTCAATTGATATTTTTCTATCTGTGCTTTCCATGTTAATTTCTGTCCCTTGAAGTCTTGTGATTCACTGGGGCTGTTGAATTAGCTTCTTCCTAGTTCTAATTTTCTAAACAGATTTTACTTTGCTTTGCTTTTCTGATAGCTGCATGCCTTCCATGTGTGCTGTCCTTGGAGATGAAACATTTGTTTGATTTGATTTAATTAATTATAGATTTTAAAACTGTCTTTAGTGGTGATTATTTTGGAGTGGTTTTCAGCTGATGTGTAGCCAGCTGTTTATTGTAACCATACCTCGTAGTAGACTAGAACAGCTTGTAAGTTCTCTTCCTAATATCGCCAAAACGGATATACAATCAGAAGGTTGCTGGTACCATTGGAATTTGAACTCTTCACTTGCTGCTGAAGATGGAGACTGAGCACTTATGGAAGTGTTCTGAGTGCTGTGATGTCGATTCTTAATTCAACATTCAGCATATCACCAAAATAAAATAATATAAGAAACATTGTTCCACGAGGTACACTGTTCCATGAGGTACTGTTCCACGAGGTACACTGTTCCACAAGGTACACTATTTCAAGAGGTACACTGTTCCACAAGGTACACTATTTCAAGAAGTACACTGTTCCACAAGGTACACTGTTTCAAGAGGTACACTGTTCCACGAGATACTGTTCCAGGGGTTACTGTTCCACGAGGTACACTGTTCCAAAACGTATTTACCTTAAATGTTGACAGAATACAGCATTACTAAATGTTTACATAAAATCATGAATACAATCACTGCATAACAGTATTTTTCACGTATAAGATATGTTTCCCAGATGTTTTAAATTTAAAACTGGGTGTTCAGCAGAATGTGTTCAAATATTTAATTCCTAATTTTAGGCTTAAAAATTGGTAGGGTTCATCTTCTAGATGGAGGCAGGAAAATATGGTTATGTGGAGGGTCATTATTTCCATGTCGTGATGTGTATGTACCAGGCAAATGGTCTTTAAAGACTGGATTGATGATGTTAAATTTCCCAGAACCCTACACCCATTGTTGCCGGTGTAACATCCTATACTGTTTGATGTAACTGTCATGTAAACTTTTTATCAGTGAAAACTCATCTGTCTTTGGTTACTGAGGGTAGGGCGATTTCAGCAGAGTTATTGTATAATATAAATTGCTGTGATGCTTCATTTAAATTATCCTGTTTCTTTATTTGTGGTGAACTGGCTCAAAATAAAGTTTATTCATTTCTAATCTCCTGATTTACAGTCCTGTATTTTGAGTGCTGCAGACTGACTAATGCTGTGGAGTGAAAGATTGCTGAGTGGTAGGAGATGTGGAGTGAAAGATTGCTGAGTGGTAGGAGATGTGGAGTGGATGATTGCTGAGTGGTAGGAGATGTGGAGTGGATGATTGCTGAGTGGTAGGAGATGTGGAGTGGATGATTGCTGAGTGGTTGGAGATGTGGAGTGGATGATTGCTGAGTGGTAGGAGATGTGGAGTGGATGATTGCTGAGTGGTAGGAGATGTGGAGTGGATGATTGCTGAGTGGTAGGAGATGTGGAGTGGATGATTGCTGAGTGGTAGGAGATGTGGAGTGGATGATTGCTGAGTGGTAGGAGATGTGGAGTAAAAGATTGCTGAGTGGTAGGAGATGTGGAGTGGATGATTGCTGAGTGGTAGGAGATGTGGAGTGGATGATTGCTGAGTGGTAGGAGATGTGGAGTGGATGATTGCTGAGTGGTAGGAGATGTGGAGTGGATGATTGCTGAGTGGTAGGAGATGTGGAGTAAAAGATTGCTGAGTGGTAGGAGATGTGGAGTGGATGATTGCTGAGTGGTAGGAGATGTGGAGTGGATGATTGCTGAGTGGTAGGAGATGTGGAGTGGATGATTGCTGAGTGGTAGGAGATGTGGAGTGGATGATTGCTGAGTGGTAGGAGATGTGGAGTGGATGATTGCTTAGGAGATGTGGAGTGGATGATTGCTGAGTGGTAGGAGATGTGGAGTGGATGATTGCTGAGTGGTTATATATGCTATAGAGTGAATGACTGCTGAGCTACTGAGCTATTATATATGCTGAGTGGTGGAAGATGCTGTGGAGTGAATAAGTGGTGAGATATGGTGTGGAGTGAATAAGTGGTGAGATATGGTGTGGAGTGAATAAGTGGTGAGATATGGTGTGGAGTGAATAAGTGGTGAGATATGGTGTGGAGTGAATAAGTGGTAAGATATGGTGTGGAGTGAATAAGTGGTGAGATATGGTGTGGAGTGAATAAGTGGTGAGATATGGTGTGGAGTGAATAAGTGGTGAGATATGGTGTGGAGTGAATAAGTGGTGAGATATGGTGTGGAGTGAATAAGTGGTGAGATATGGTGTGGAGTGAATAAGTGGTGAGATATGGTGTGGAGTGAATAAGTGGTGAGATATGGTGTGGAGTGAATAAGTGGTGAGATATGGTGTGGAGTGAATAAGTGGTGAGATATGGTGTGGAGTGAATAAGTGGTGAGATATGGTGTGGAGTGAATAAGTGGTGAGATATGGTGTGGAGTGAATACGTGGTGAGATATGGTGTGGAGTGAATAAGTGGTGAGATATGGTGTGGAGTGAATAAGTGGTGAGATATGGTGTGGAGTGAATAAGTGGTGAGATATGGTGTGGAGTGAAAGATTGCTAACATGTTAGAGATGCTGTAGAGTGAATAATTGCTGAGTGGTGAGATGCTGTGAATAGAATGACTGCTAACATGTTACAGATGCTGTGGACTGAATGAATGCTAACATGTTACAGATGCTGTGGCCTGAATGATTGCTAACATGTTACAGATGCTGTGGCCTGAATGATTGCTAACATGATACAGATGCTGTGAACTGAATGATTGCTAACACGTTACAGATGCTGTGGCCTGAATGACTGCTAACATGTTACAGATGCTGTGGCCTGAATGATTGCTAACATGTTACAGATGCTGTGAATTTAATGACTGCTAACATGTTACAGATGCAGTGGCCTGAATGACTGCTAACATGTTACAGATGCTGTGAACTTAATGATTGCTAACATGTTACAGATGCTGTGGCTTGAATGATTGCTAACATGTTACAGATGCTGGGCCTGAATGATTGCTAACATGTTACAGATGCTGTGGCCTGAATGATTGCTAACATGTTACAGATGCTGTTAACTGAATGATTGCTAACATGTTACAGATACTGTGGCCTGAATGATTGCTAACATGTTACAGATACTGTGGCCTGAATGATTGCTAACATGTTACAGATACTGTGGCCTGAATGATTGCTAACATGTTACAGATGCTGTGAATTGAATGATTGCTAACATGTTACAGATGCTGTGAACTGAATGATTGCTAACACTTTACAGATGCTGTAAACTGAATGACTGCTAACATGTTACAGATGGTGTGGGATGTCAGATATGAGAGGGATTCCTGAGGTATGGTGAGATTACAGAGGAGTCAGGTTAGGTTCTGCTTCAGTAACAGTGATGCCTGAGTGAGACTAAGGTTACAGCGAAGCCAAGTCTTACCAACCTTCAATGCACACTTAACATATATAGACAATGAATAGGGTACTAGAACAGAAAATAACTACATGTGAAATGCGCTGTCTCCGTCAGGTCACTAACAACACAAGAAGAGATAGTTACGAATACCAGCATTAGAGAGAAAGTTGGAATAAGGCCATGTCTGGATTATACTTGGGGGCTGTGTGGTCTCGAGGCATGGTGTCCATCTCGAGTGCTAGAGGTTCCGGGTTCAATCCCCTGTAAGGGCTGGGATTTTTTCACGTGGACTTGGACTTCTAGTAATTCCCCCTAGCATCTGGGGTCATGAGATCGGATTCTCGTGTGCATTGTTGTAAAAAAAAAATCCCTTGGCAGTTGAAAATTTAAAAGAGTAGCCTAACGGCGCTGCCCAAGCAAAATTTGTAGTTAAAAATCTACCCAAAGTATTTCAGGATCCTCACCAGGGCTACAGAGCCTGTGCAGTGTGGACTCAGACTTGAGTTAGAAGAAGAACGGAGCACTTGTGTGTGGGTGATTACCCGTGCGCCATGATGTTGATCAGTTGTTTACACCTAAATTACACTGACAGACGAAGAATTAAATGGTCCGCTATGCACAGCAGAACACCTGGGACGAAGACTGGGAAAGACCAAGAAAGAGATCTATAGTTTATAGGCAGTTGGTGAGCGATGTGGCCAACATCATGCTAGCCGCCTTTACTTTCCAGGACTGCACCTGGTACCCACTCAAGTCTGGGTCGACCTGGCAGCCAAGAAGAGAAAGAAGGCATGATATACTTACCACCAATATTACACACCATCGACGATAAGAAAAATAAGAGAAAATCTCCTGAAGAAAAAAAACTTACTTCAACTTGACTTTATAATTTTTCACAATGAAGCAGACAATGGCAGCATTGACACAGAAAAACACCAGCCCTGATGCCCAAATCAGCAGGAATGTGTTGTAGCCCTGGAACTCCAGCAAGTAGGCTGGCAGTAGCCATAGACCCTGGCAGTAGGAGAGCAGTAAAGTGTTAATTTTCTTTCTTTCTTTCTGTTGTCCATATTCTGCTTTGTGCCGCTGGGCATCTCAGGTTAACAGATGACAGGTATTCCAGCTTGTTCAGGCTCGGTTGCCTTTCATGCTAATGTCATGGAGTCTCAAGGTATCAGTGACCCCTTCAATCCATTTTTTTCTTGGTTGTTCCCCCATCTCTCGATGTTTCTACTTTCACAGTGTGCGCTCTTGTTTCTGGCATCATTAGATTCATTCTGACTAAGCTGCCAAAGCATCTGAGTCTTTATTTTTCACTGAATCATTTTAAATATTTATTATTCAATTATATAATGTAAGTCGCACAAGCCAGTTTAACACACTTGGCACTGATCTCTGAGATCTACCATCTCTTCCCTTAGTCTGCCTCTCCTTCCGCCGGATCTTTCCTATCATTATTATGATGGTCTACAATTCCCCCCTTCTCATTACAATACCAAAGAAAAGTCTGTAACTTTCTTAATTCAAAATAATGTTCTAGATCCATGAGCTTTCTCTAGGCAACACTTGTTGACTCCGGCTGTTCTAGATCAATGAGCTTTCTCTAGGCAACACTTGTTGACTCCGGCTGTTCTAGATCAATGAGCTTTCTCTAGGCAACACTTGTTGACTCCGGCTGTTCTAGATCCATGAGCTTTCTCTAGGCAACACTTGTTGACTCCGGCTGTTCTAGATCCATGAGCTTTCTCTAGGCAACACTTGTTGACTCCGGCTGTTCTAGATCCATGAGCTTTCTCTAGGCAACACTTGTTGACTCCGGCTGTTCTAGATCCATGAGCTTTCTCTAGGCAACACTTGTTGACTCCGGCTGTTCTAGATCCATGAGCTTTCTCTAGGCAACACTTGTTGACTCCGGCTGTTATAGATCCATGAGCTTTCTCTAGGCAACACTTGTTGACTCCGGCTGTTCTAGATCCATGAGCTTTCTCTAGGCAACACTTGTTGACTCCGGCTGTTCTAGATCCATGAGCTTTCTCTAGGCAACACTTGTTGACTCCGGCTGTTCTAGATCCATGAGCTTTCTCTAGGCAACACTTGTTGACTCCGGCTGTTCTAGATCCATGAGCTTTCTCTAGGCAACACTTGTTGACTCCGGCTGTTCTAGATCCATGAGCTTTCTCTAGGCAACACTTGTTGACTCCGGCTGTTCTAGATCCATGAGCTTTCTCTAGGCAACACTTGTTGACTCCGGCTGTTCTAGATCCATGAGCTTTCTCTAGGCAACACTTGTTAACTCCGGCTGTTCTAGATCCATGAGCTTTCTCTAGGCAACACTTGTTGACTCCGGCTGTTCTAGATCCATGAGCTTTCTCTTGGCAACACTTGTTGACTCCGGCTGTTCTAGATCCATGAGCTTTCTCTAGGCAACACTTGTTGACTCCGGCTGTTCTAGATCCATGAGCTTTCTCTAGGCAACACTTGTTGACTCCGGCTGTTCTAGATCCATGAGCTTTCTCTAGGCAACACTTGTTGACTCCGGCTGTTCTAGATCCATGAGCTTTCTCTAGGCAACACTTGTTGACTTCGGCTGTTCTAGATCCATGAGCTTTCTCTAGGCAACACTTGTTGACTCCGGCTGTTCTAGATCCATGAGCTTTCTCTAGGCAACACTTGTTGACTCCGGCTGTTCTAGATCCATGAGCTTTCTCTAGGCAACACTTGTTGACTCTGGCTGTTCTAGATCCATGAGCTTTCTCTAGGCAACACTTGTTGATTCCGGCTGTTCTAGATCCATGAGCTTTCTCTAGGCAACACTTGTTGACTCCGGCTGTTCTAGATCCATGAGCTTTCTCTAGGCAACACTTGTTGACTCCGGCTGTTCTAGATCCATGAGCTTTCTCTAGGCAACACTTGTTGACTCCGGCTTTCTGAGATTTTACAGCATTAGTCAACCACACTTTCACAGCCTCCAAATAAAATAAAACACAAGTACACAGTCTCCTCGGCTTACAACCAAGTCATGTTCCGACTAGCAAGTCATAAATCAAACTGGTCGTAAGTTGAATTATATTATTCTTCACTACTTTCATTCAAACTGGTTATTCAAATTTTACATAAAACACAAAAATTAAATCTTTTATTGTATATAATGTAAAAAATATATAATACTAGCTGTACCCGGCCACGCGTTGCTGTGGCATAGTTTGGCTAAATGAAAATGAAAGAAAATAGAAATCGCACGTGTCTAATACAATCATTGTCTGTTCAGATATAGAGATAGTCTTTTATCCCCCCCCCCCCCCCCCACCACAACTAAATCCACCTACTACTCTCTCCCTCATCAAAGGTTTTTGGAAAAGAAAGACAATGGAAATCGCACGTGTCTAATATAGTTAATGTCGCAATCATTTTCTGCACAGATATAGAACACAACTTTATAACACGCACCAAGTCATTACCCCCTCCCCTCCCCTCTTCCACTGACTACTGCTCTCTCCCTCTCCGAAGGATTTGAAAATCATTATTGGCGATATTTTGTTGTTGCTGTAACTGACATTGACATCCCTGTCCGTCCGGACTAAAATGGGGAGCAGGTATTGTAATAGGTAGTGAATAGGGCTAATGTAATATTTACCACATCATCATTCAAGTACCAGTACAACTACTACCACGACCACCACCACAGTAGCTAAAATAATGTCACTGCTATCTGTGTTATCGGAGTAGACAGAGAGTCGTGAGCCAGAAGATTTGGTTCCGTATGGCTAGTGCTGTCGCCACAGACTGGTCAGGTTAGGATGTATAATTTCACTTGCCGACAGAAAAACGCCATAACCTAACCGGCGGTCTTCACATGAGAGCACTATGGTGTAACAGCCCAACCACAACTATTACTGCTGCTGCTACTTTAAGTGGGTAAAGCAGTTACTGTGACTTAAAGCTCTCTCAGTTAATAGTTCCCCCCCCCCCCCCCCCCCCCCCCCCTTTACATTCACCGACAACTCTTTCCCTCATTGAAGTAGTTGGGAGAAAAAAAAAAAACACTTGAAAAGCAAATGAACACAGGAAAAAAAACACCATAATTAGGAAATGAACGCTATGGTAAACAGCACAGCTTAAAATTCCAACGCAGATGCAATAACTAAATCTAAATGAAAATAAATGGAAATCTATGAAATTTCAGCGTAACCATGCAATCGGAAAGTTTAAAAATGCAATCATAAGTATGCGAAATGGTCAAATTTAATTATCAAATGGTGTACCCATTTACTTGTCTTTTTTTTTTTTTTTTTTAGTATTAAGGGCAACATTGCTAGTGCTGTCACCACGACAGAGCAGATGATGATATTATTTTAGTCCGAGGTAAAAAAAAAAATGAACTACTGCGGATTTGAACCCTGGTCTCCCGCACAGGAACCCAGTGTTCTAACCAAGCAGCAACTTAATCGGATCAACGAAAAGAGAACTTAACTATTAGAGATGTGTGACCCTACTATTGTGTCCCGATTATAACACAACTCAAAACCGCAGGCAATTGTTTTCTCATAGACAGATACTCCATATATAATAATGAAATGGCACAACAACAGAAATCGCACGTGTCTAACACAGTTAATGAAGTTAATGTCGCAGTCAATGTCTGCGCCGACGTAAAGATAGTCCTTGATGCCACCATCCCCCCCCCCCGAAGGTTGTTTGAAAAAAAAAACAGAAAATAGAAATCGTGTTTAATATGGTTATTATGGCAAATATAGAGATAGTCTTGTTTGCTGTACCACGACCTACTCTATGTATTAGAGAAGGCGTTGGCTGCACATAACTCGCCGGCGAATGGTGGAAGCCTTGCGTTCTGACTACGGCGCATGCGCAATTACTAACGTGGCTATAATTAGAAATGACTAAAATTATAAATATTAGTTTAGAATGTGGCTCAAATTGTGGTCACCTATCTCTAACAGTGACAGGCTGAATTTCAAACCATGATGGTTCAACATCCGGTATCAAAACAAACATATCCTGAAAATTTCAGCTAAATCGGTTCAGTAGTTTCCGAGTCTATAAGGGGCAAACAAACACACAAACATTGATTTTTATATATATAGATAGATAATTTAACTTTACCTCATCAGTTCCTGAAACTTTTTGATCATACCAATATAGTTATCTTTCTTTATTTACTATTTTATTTAATTTTTTTTTTTGAGGTGGTCATAAGTCGAGGAAAAGGTGTGTAAACTACGTTGAATTTGAAAAAAAAAATTTGTAAGTCACGGACATATGCCAGTTGGACATTGGGTATAAGTTAGACTCCAATGTTCATAGACCAATCAGCATTTAATCAAAGCAATGTTTCCCCGTTGTAAATTTGAACAAAGAAGACACAAACAATAGACTGCACAATTTATTGCCTGGCATATTTCGCTGTATCTCATCAGGTGCATACTTCAGTAACAATTAATTAAAATGAAGCAAATAGCTGAATCCTAGAAACTGAAACACAAATTCGAGTAGATTTCAAACTGTTTTACCAAGGTAAACGTAGGGCAACGACCATTTCCTTTTGCCTACAAAGTTCCGGTTTCAATCTGCCAATCGCTGAAGCTTCCGCGTATCGAAGTAATCTACGGTTAGCCGAACTGTAAATAATTCGGAATGCATCATCCCTGTTAATGATGTGCCCGGAATTTAGAATATGGCACGCAATTGCTGATGATGGATTATTTCGACAAGTTACCTGATTCGTTGTTGTTTGAGGTGTTAGTGTTCTGCATTGCTTTTACCAACCATAGTGGAATGTGTTCAGCAACCCGTTGCTCCAGTCGTCGATCAGTTCTGCCCACATATGCAGTGTTACAGGTGCATTTAAATTGGTATATACAGTTAGATCTGGCGTACGTCGACACTGGTTCTTTTACAGGTGGTGTAGGAATCCTGGTGGTTTTAAATCTCATAACAGGCATGGCAGCGTAAAAGGTTTGACCGACTGCTGTTTTGAGTCGGTCATATATACGTTGCACGACGTCGTCTCCCCGAAACGTTAGATGTATATAGGCTAGTTTTTTTTGGGGCACCGACATTTCTAAGGTAACTGGTTTAGGCGGCTGGCAATGGCACTTAATAAAGCCACCTGGATATCCATTAGAAAGCAGTGTTTGTTTAATCGTATCAAACTCAGCTTGTAGCGTGTCGATGGAACAAATCTTCCTAGCACGGTGGAATAATGTCCTCACTAGACCACGTTTGTATTGCAAAGGTGCAAAACTGTTGAAATGGATGTATTGGCCCGTCCAAGTGTCTTTACGAAAAACTGACCTTTCAATAGTACCATCATCTCTACGTCTGATTAAAATGTCTAAAAAGGCCAAAGTGTTACTACTTTCATGTTGTAGGGACACAGTGATGTTTTTGTGCATTTGATTCATTTTGGTGTGAAACGACTCTTTATCATCGCCACTAACAAACAACAGGCAGAGTCGTTTCACACCAAAATGAATCAAATGCACAAAAACATCACTGTGTCCCTACAACATGAAAGTAGTAACACTTTGGCCTTTTTAGACATTTTAATCAGACGTAGAGATGATGGTACTATTGAAAGGTCAGTTTTTTCGTAAAGACACTTGGACGGGCCAATACATCCATTTCAAGCAGTTTTGCACCTTTGCAATACAAACGTGGTCTAGTGAGGACATTATTCCCACCGTGCTAGGAAGATTTGTTCCATCGACACGCTACAAGCTGAGTTTGATACGATTAAACAAACACTGCTTTCTAATGGATATCCAGGTGGCTTTATTAAGTGCCATTGCCAGCCGCCTAAACAGTTACCTTAGAAATGTCGGTGCCAAAAAAACTAGCCTATATACATCTAACGTTTCGGGGAGACGACGTCATGCAACGTATATATGACCGACTCAAAACAGCAGTCCGTCAAACCTTTTACGCAGCCATGCCTGTTATGAGATTTAAAACCACCAGGATTCCTACACCACCAGTAAAAGAACCAGTGTCGACGTACGCCAGATCTAACTGTATATACCAATTTAAATGCACCTGTAACGCTGCATATGTGGGCAGAACTGATCGACGACTGGAACAACGGGTTGCTGAACATATTCCACTATGGTTGGTAAAAGCAATGCAGAACACTAACACCTCAACAACAACGAATCAGGTAACTTGTCGAAATAATCCATCATCAGCAATTGCGTGCCATATTCTAAATTCCGGGCACATCATTAACAGGGATGATGCATTCCGAATTATTTACAGTTCGGCTAACCGTAGATTACTTCGATACGCGGAAGCTTCAGCGATTGGCAGATTGAAACCGGAACTTTGTAGGCAAAAGGAAATGGTCGTTGCCCTACGTTTACCTTGGTAAAACAGTTTGAAATCTACTCGAATTTGTGTTTCAGTTTCTAGGATTCAGCTATTTGCTTCATTTTAATTAATTGTTACTGAAGTATGCACCTGATGAGATACAGCGAAATATGCCAGGCAATAAATTGTGCAGTCTATTGTTTGTGTCTTCTTTGTTCAATCAGCATTTGATGGGTTATGTGGTCAACATCAGGCCACCCATTTTTACTTCCTAGCACCCACTTAATGCTAGTTCAACCTGGCAGCAACGGGTCCCCCCCCCCCCCCCCAAAATCCACTTGGTGAGGATTTGAATCCAAGACCTCTAGGTCAGCAAGCAAATGTCTAGCCACCATGCCACTGACACAGAGCCGAACATCATAACAGAACTTAATACACACAATTGTCTGAACAAAAACAAAACAAAAAAAGGCAATGATGTAATCAACATACAAAGAATGTAAGGAGTGCTTGGTGATGTTCATATATAAAAGGCACAAAAAAGGGCGGGGGGGGGGGGGGGGGGGTTAAATTTCCAAAACTGTATCAGACTCTACAGCCCTTAAATACTTTCTCAAGCTCTGACAGTTTTTGTTCTGGTACCTTTCTATCTCTACACAAGATGTCATACTGTGCTATAGGAAGACATGAGAATAACTGCTTATGGTGATCCTCTCTAAAGCAAAAGCTGGCATAAAAAAACAGTCATTACCAAAAAGCTACACAAAGCAGGCCATTTGTTTTCCTAATCCTGTAAAAGAAGCCGGCATTAAAAAAAACAGTTATTAGCAAAAAGCTACACAAAGCAGGCCATTTGTTTTCCTAATCCTGTAAAAGAATTCAGCCCCTTATAAAGCAGTTGTGATTTTCCTCATGAAAGTTTGAAGAAAACAAAAATTGGAAGGATATATGCCTGCGAAGAGAGGAAGTGGAAGGCCAAAGAGAAGATGGGTGCAGGATGTGGTGGATGATCTCCAGATGGGTGTATCAGAAGTGGGACATCTTGCTTGTGATCGAGAAGTTTTCCGGAGGGTTTTTATGGCAGCAAGGTTCTCCAAAGACATGCTACTGATTGACTGATTGATTTTCCTGCTGACTGTCAGCATTGTGCAGACTCACTGTAAGTACAATTTATAATATAAATGATATGAAGTAATTTCTTGTATAATAAAAGTCAAAGATCGAACAAGTATAGAAATGTCAGTATCCAGGCACATGGATAACATCCACTGGAAGATGTATCACAAAGATAAAGAACAGAACAGGACAGGCTAAAACTGCCTTGTATAAAACGAAGCACATTTTATGCAATAAATCCATGTCATTGAAGTTTAGGAGAAAAATTCTTGCATGCTATACAGAGCCATTGTTAACCTACAGCTTGAATCCTGGACAATTAATAAATAGGCTGAACAATTTATTGAGGCCTCAGAGATGCAGTTTCACAGAGGAATCTGTAGAACTCCTTGAACAGCTAAAAAGAGCAACTGTGGTGTTTTGAATGAGAGGAGGGCTCGAAGAAAACTTACCACAAATATCAGAAAGAGACGGTCATCATTTCTGGTCATGTTATGAGAAGAGGGGAAATGGAACTAAGGTCTGTGGAAAGAAAAACAAAGGAAGACAGTGTGAGAGGATTCTTGATAGCCTTCTGTCATGGCATGGAGGGTGTCAACACACATACTGATATACATAGTTGTGGATCGCAGATTGTGGAGAGGCATGATCGCCCATGCCAGTCGGTAGGGTATTTGATGATGCAGTATTGTGAGAGCCCTTGAAATGTTAGGAATCTGCTAAGATGGCAAACACAGTGAACTGTCTATCTTTACAAATCTTTCTGTCGATATTACAGGTCAGGTCATTTTCATCTTTGTCAGCAGTGTATCCAACAGAGCATAGACTTTAAACCAAGTATACCTAGCTATTAATTAATGAACCAATCTGGTGCCATCTACACAATGAAAGTTGGCTACAACAAACAACACTCTCCGTCTTTTGCCCTGGATGTAAACTCTCTGATCACTTTTCATCCACCTTTAGATGTAATCCTCCCACTTGTATTGCTGTATGCCTCTTGTTCACTTGCCTTCAACTTTTCCCTCCGGTAAGGCTTTTAAATTAGAGTTATTCTACTAATATAGCCAAAATATTTCACTTGCCTTTTTTTATTTCCTTGAGCAACTCTCCTTTTACTCCTAGTGTCTCCAGAACCTCTCTATTTTGGCTACTTTTTGTTTCCAAGAAATCCAAAATTGTCTTCTATACATCCACATCTTCAGAAATACAATATGATTAACTGCTTGTAGCAAGTGATCCAATTTTTAGAAATCATCTGCATCTCACCCCATGTCCTGGCCAGCTCATTGCCCTCCGTGTGTTTTTCATCATCATAATAAACCACTTCTGATGATTCTATTAATATAGCCAACATATTTCACTTGTCTCTCTTTTTTTTTAAATGTGTTTTTGGTATTCCTTTATGTATTTAGGTTATTTTCATCATTCACTAAATGTTGTTTGTTTCAAAATGCCAGGACTACGCAGAAATGCAGTTTAAATCAAGTTGAACCCAGTAAGAACACCATACGCTGAAAGAATTTTCCAGTATTTAATATGGACTACCAGTATTAACTTTCTTAACAAGCCATAATATTCAACATTTACTTTTTACCTGAGCACCGAACCAAAGTAAGAGAAGACACATTGATGTTGTAACAGCCATCTTTATGTCTGGTAGAATACACGGCAACAAGCTCACGTACCACAGGAAATACTGTCAAAAGAACAAGTTAACAATGATTCCACCAGTGCTAACTGAATCACTGACGTAATTAATGACTTATTTATTCAGTCAAATAAAGTGAGGAGTTATGCTCACATGTGATGATCTCCAACAGTGGCGACTGCTCTCTGCTAACAACAGCCTGAATCAATTCAGATGCTCCCACCTTTATGTGCTCTGGTAGAAGACTGACAAGACTGATTCCCTCTCTCTCTTTTTCCTTAATTTGTTCCCTGTTTTGTTACAAAATGTTCTAGTTCTTCTCTTCCCAACACCGGTCTAAAGATGACAAAATATCCATGTCTTTGGAATTTATGGCATTCCTGAGTAGAACCACATCTCGGAGGCCTCCTTTTCTGTTTGTTTACTACCAGGATTCAGTTACTTCATAAAATACAATTTTTGCTGGTCCTGTTCTGCTGTGGAGTGTATGAGAATGCAAGGTCTCTTTCTCTCTCTCTCTCTCTCTCTCTCCCCCTTCCCCCCCCCCCCCACACACACACAGACACAATGCATGTACATACGCACACCGGTCTGCATATATACACACAAACACACATAAACTCTACAAGTTGACTGCACAGGGGACTGTAGCAAAGTGGTCAACTTATGGAGGTGGTCAACTTATGAAGGCGATCAACGTACGGAGGTGGTCAACACATGAAATAAGGCCTATTATGCTAGTATTATATTTCACTCAACATATACTGAAGAATACAGTATCATATGAAAGCATACATAAGCACAATATCAAATCAAAGCATCAACATCTGTTTTATCATGGTTAAATCATTCTTTCTGGAAAATAAGTCATTCTTGATCTGCATCTTCTGTATTTTATTTTCTTCTACTGTCACCCTTTAAAGGGGTGGTGAGCCTGTTGTAGTCTGCAGCAAGGCGGTGATATCCGCCCCCTTCGGCCCAACATGTGATATCAGCAAATCCCTAATTAACTGTCCTTTACGACATGACAAAGGAGAAGTGGGTCTATTCTCTTTCCCTCATAATGGGTCCTGGGACCAACACAAGGAAGGTCTCTGTTTTATTCTCATTAGAAATGTATGTGGGGGAAAGCACTGGTTGTTAACTGATCCAGCGAATGAAGCTGCTCGCATAGGTGGATCACAGAACTGGGTTTTTAGATGACCCACTGCAAAATGGGTCCAGTAGTGCATTTTAAATTATTTATTTTACGATGCCTTAGTTAAGAGGCTGAGTTTTTAAGATCGTCTTTGGCGGCAGAATTTTAAATGTCTTGGTGGTGAGATGATCCAAATGTGGGTGGCCAAGACAGTTGTCTACCTTCAGTAGAATGTCTGAGTACCATTTCTTGTTTTTCATTTTGGCTTACTTATTTCTTCTTTATAGGATTGAGTGCCCTCCCCCCCCCCCCCCCCCCCCCCACCTAAAGATGTTCTCGTTTTAAGCATTTGTTTTTACATTTCGTATATTATTTTTCATAATGTTTTGTTGTTGTGGCCCCCCTGGATCACAAGAAGTGCTAGACCACTGCACTTTTTAACCTGGCAAAGCACACCCACACACACACCCACATACATACACATACACCCACATATACCCACACATACACCCACTCACACACCCACAAACACCACTGGTTAAGTCATGTTGGTGATATACTTTATGTGTCATGATCCAAGTGGTCAACATATAACTTTTAGAGGTGGTCAACATATAACTTTTAGAGGTGGTCAACATATAACTTTTAGAGGTGGTCAACATATAACTTTTAGAGGTGGTCAACATATAACTTTTAGAGGTGGTCAACATATAACTTTTAGAGGTGGTCAACATATAACTTTTAGAGGTGGTCAACATATAACTTTTAGAGGTGGTCAACATATAACTTTTAGAGGTGGTCAACATATAACTTTTAGAGGTGGTCAACATATAACTTTTAGAGGTGGTCAACATATAACTTTTAGAGGTGGTCAACATATAACTTTTAGAGGTGGTCAACATATAACTTTTAGAGGTGGTCAACATATAACTTTTAGAGGTGGTCAACATATAACTTTTAGAGGTGGTCAATATATAACTTTTAAAGGTGATCAACATATAACTTTTAGAGGTGGCCAACATATAACTTTTAGAGGTGGTCAACATATAACTTTTAGAGGTGGTCAACATATAACTTTTAGAGGTGGTCAACATATAACTTTTAGAGGTGGTCAACATATAACTTTTAGAGGTGGTCAACATATAACTTTTAGAGGTGGTCAACATATAACTTTTAGAGGTGGTCAACATATAACTTTTAGAGGTGGTCAACATATAACTTTTAGAGGTGGTCAACATATAACTTTTAGAGGTGGTCAACATATAACTTTTAAAGGTGATCAACATATAACTTTTAGAGGTGGTCAACATATAACTTTTAGAGGTGGTCAACATATAACTTTTAGAGGTGGTCAACATATAACTTTTAGAGGTGGTCAACATATAACTTTTAGAGGTGGTCAACATATAACTTTTAGAGGTGGTCAACATATAACTTTTAGAGGTGGTCAACATATAACTTTTAGAGGTGGTCAACATATAACTTTTAGAGGTGGTCAACATATAACTTTTAGAGGTGGTCAACATATAACTTTTAGAGGTGGTCAACATATAACTTTTAGAGGTGGTCAACATATAACTTTTAAAGGTGATCAACATATAACTTTTAGAGGTGGTCATCATATAACTTTTAGAGGTGGTCAACATATAACTTTTAGAGGTGGTCAACATATAACTTTTACAGGTGGTCAACATATAACTTTTAGAGGTGGTCAACATATAACTGTTAGAGGTGGTCAACATATAACTTTTAGAGGTGGTCAACATATAACTTTTAGAGGTGGTCAACATATAACTTTTAGAGGTGGTCAACATATAACTTTTAGAGGTGGTCAACATATAACTTTTAGAGGTGGTCAACATATAACTTTTAGAGGTGGTCAACATATAACTTTTAGAGGTGGTCAACATATAACTTTTAGAGGTGGTCAACATATAACTTTTAGAGGTGGTCAACATATAACTTTTAGAGGTGGTCAACATATAACTTTTAGAGGTGGTCAACATATAACTTTTAAAGGTGATCAACATATAACTTTTAGAGATGGTCAACATAAAGAAGATATAGCCTTCCACTGAATACATGTGACGATCAATAGAAACGAGGTCACTAGAGGCAGCTGATCAATTCTGAAGGTTCTTCTCTGTGTGTGCATATGTGCATGGGTGCGCATGGGTGTGTGCATGTGTGTAGTCATTACTGTCCATATTTAGAACTTTTCAGGGTGGTGTAGGACGAGGGAGATTCCTTCAGCCTGAGGACACATACTGCATGGCTAATGCAGCTGCCATGAACTGTGCAGGCTAGGATTTTTATTTTTGTCCCCCCCCCCCCCCCCCTACAAATGAAGTCTCTGTCACCTTATCTAGGATTCAAACCCAGGTCTTCTGCATGGCACTGATTTGTTTTAAAAATCTGACCAGCTGCCCCCCCCCCCCACACTCATACAGCGCACGTGCACACAGACACACACATATAAGCATGGATTTATACACACACTGACAAACAATTAATGTTTTAAAAATAACAGCAAAAACACAAACCTGTGAAGTACAAACTTTGTTTGCCATTACAAAAACAAAGGTGCACAAGAACCAGCAAAGAGGCTGGTCTTTATAGAATCGAACCCCAACAGCACACACCAGCACCATCTGAGGCAGGAAGACCAGCAGACGAAGGTACAAAGGCACACCCATTTCTGTGTCAGAGGTCAAGTACAGCAAGTAGAAGTACGGCGAAAAATTATGCCTGATGTCTCCTCTTACTACGTGGTATATGTACGTCTCATAGAGAAAGATCCAGCCATATCTGCAGGAGGAAAGAACATGTCATATTGATTCAATTTAATGAATACCTCAGTAATGGTCACAATTCATCATCAACATATAGCATGATCTATACAGAACATCGTGCCCATTATTATTCACTGACAACCTAACAGAAACTCACAATGTCTCTTATCCTTTGCACCCACCTTCATGCTGGTTGCTCCCTGCCCCTCTTAATCAGACCATGTCCTCCACAATTATTCTTTCCTAGCCAATGTGGCATGCAACAGGGCCAAATGATTTCAATTTGATTTCACTTTTTTTAGACATGATACCATAGATACGCCAAATCGTGTCAATATTTAGATCTTGAAAACAGTATTTGAAGGAAAGGGGGGAGGGGGGTCCACAATTAGCCTCTGAGAAATGATAAGCTAAGTTAGAAAAACATAAAATTTGTAGCTGAAGAAATATGGTGGCTCTGTAACTCACATGCATACGCAGTGGTGCAGGGCTCAAATCTCCACTTAGGCAGGACTTTTTTTCAGGGCTGACATAGCCTTAGAAGTGGACAGCAGATAATTTTGTTTGACGGCAGATGATTGTGATCCATCAAGTTCCATTTAGTCAAGGATTTTTGAGTCCACAACCCAATTCCCAACACACCAAAATGACACAATAACAACAGTATATTTTGACTGCATATCAGCCAACCAATGTGATATTGAGCCCACCACCCACCAAGTAACAATTGGTCTATTTAAATATGGCCCCATATGCCAATGGCAGGAAAATAGTCCTTTAGTATTTTTATAGTTTATTTATTCCCAGAACTGAAGTACTCAATGAGGGTAGGCTCTTCAAGTAGAAGAAGTATGACACGGTGTGGAGAAAGCTGAAAGAACTCCAGATCGTCGACATACCTCCTCTCACCTAGGAAAACCTTCAGAATTGGCACCTGGAATGTTAGAAATCTCTATGATATAGGAAGAACAATGGAAGTAGTAAGGGAATAAAAAACACGTCGAGAAGGGAGCTGGAGAATGAAGTTAGAAAGATGGGAAGGACATGGGGAGAGCTGCATGCGACTGCAAAGGATAGAACAACCTGGCATTATTTGGTTGAGGGCCTATGCTCCATTGGGAGCTAGAAAGGCAGAAGAAGAAGAAATGAATAGCATCATTGGTCCACTGGTGATTTACAATCAAATCTTCTTCATTCTGTTCTCTCTGCTACAGGTGTTCAGATAAGAAAGCCACAGGTCTGTATGAAAGCTGTGGTGCTACAGGTGTTCAGATAAGAAGGCCACAGGTCTGTATGAAAGCTGTGGTGCTAGAAGTGTTTAGATAAGAAAGCCACAGGTCTGTATGAAAGCTGTGGTGCTAGAAGTGTTTAGATAAGAAAGCCACAGGTCTGTATGAAAGCTGTGGTGCTAGAAGTGTTTAGATAAGAAAGCCACAGGTCTGTATGAAAGCTGTGGTGCTAGAAGTGTTTAGATAAGAAAGCCACAGGTCTGTATGAAAGCTGTGGTGCTAGAAGTGTTTAGATAAGAAAGCCACAGGTCTGTATGAAAGCTGTGGTGCTACAGGTGTTCAGATAAGAAGGCCACAGGTCTGTATGAAGGCTGTGGTGCTACAGGTGTTCAGATAAGAAGTCCACAGGTCTGTATGAAGGCTGTGGTGTGATGCATGTCCTCCAGTGATCCATACAGCTGGGTTTCCAACAAAATGTTAACCTGCAAGACCTGGGATCTCTCTACTGCAGGTAGACAGCACATCTGTGTCACATGTTCACTATTCTGTGCTGACTGTCCACATGGGCAAACTTCTCTAAGTCTCTAATCTTGAATTTTTTTATAAGGCTGTTGAGTCTATTGTGCCCAATATACAGTCTAAATACAATGGTCTGTTGATTTCGCATTAAAGTTAAAATCGAAAGGATCGACTTCATTGCACTGGGTTTTATCCCATATGGCACCGTCTCTCTCCGCAGAGAGGCTAGCCGCCTGCCGAGAGCACCTCACAAGCACGTATTCCGTAGCTCCGGTTACGATCGCCAGTGATCTCTGTAAAAATTGCACTCGTGAACTGAAGGCTGCAGCCATGGAATGAACCCATGACCTTCAGAGTGTGGGGCAAACGGCTTGACCACTTCACCAGAGAGACCCCCTGCTTTCATGTGACAATGCTGCCTGAGTCATCAGAGTTGTGTTATGGATGGCAATTGTTCCAGTGGGTTATAATGGCTGCCATGATCTGCGTTTCATTTTGCTCACAAGTTCACCCTGCATCTGCATCATCTATCTGTCTGCTATTTCCTTTCCCATAAAATTGCAATGGCTAGGGATCCACTTGAGAACAGTCTGTTTGGTCAGCTGACTTATTTGATTTAGTAGAGATCTAAGCTTGTTAAAATGTAGCTGCGAGTTGAGTTGATTCAAAAACCGACATCACAGCACTTGGGGCATTCCCATAAGTGCTCCGACTATATTTTCAGCAGAAAATGCAGAGTTCCAATACTAATGGTGCCAGTAGCACTCTGATTATACATCTGTCTTGCCATTCCACTGAGCGTCGAGTATCGGCCAGATCCCCTTGTCACTCCCAGTCATTTGCTCCTCCGAATTGTAACATGCTCTCCCAGAAGGCCCTAACCACGTCTGCTGTATCATACACTAATATACCACCAAGTTGTGCAGAACTAGCCAGTCTGTCCGCCAGTTCATTTCCCAACACACCGGTATGACGCATGCTGTCCTCACCTTCCTCTGCATGCTTTCTGGGTCAGTTAAAATCCTGATGTGTGTATGTGTCATGTTCTCTAACCAGCATCTAACCTGCAAAAAGCTGCAGTGATCGCCTCCATCTCCATTCATAAGCTGGATCTTGAGGCATCATATGCTCGGCTCTCCTGCACCAAACGTCGTCTGTAGTTGCTTACTGTTTTGCATTATCTGCAGAACTGTACATGCATCTGTCAGTATAACTGTTTCTGACCCAAAGCTGCATCCACTGAGTAATATGGAGATTGCATTCTCCAGCGCCACTGTCTCCACTCTGTAAGTGGAGCAGTGTTTCCTGACACTCTTTATAGCATCAATGCTCCACTTAATACAGATTCCTCTTTCTCTATCAACTCTTCTGCAAAGCCATTTGTGAACTCCCAAAACATCTTTTTTTGGAATAGTTGTATTCAACCATCTAAACCAAATCAAGCTACTTCCACCAACCACTCACTTATGATTTTGCTACTAATTATCTGGGTACCTGGGAATCACCTTTGACAGAAGTTTATTTTTCAGGGATCACATAAAGGGGGGTAGTGACAAGGGCTCAAAAAGGTCTAAATGAAATAAAGACTATGGCAGCATTGGACATGGAGCAGAGAATGATGTACACAGTTTGCCAGCACTTGATCATCTCAGTGACTGATTATGGATCGGGGTTACTCACTGTCTTGAAGAGTCAGCTAGAGAAACTGGAGCACATACAGAATAAAGCTATGCGGCTGATCCTGGGTTATACCAGAGACACCCCGATTGTGTACATGGGATACGTCCTTGCATTGCCCACTATTGCAGATAGGCTAAAGGTACTGCAGGCTAAGTCATACCTCAGAGTAGCTGCAGACAGGGAACACCCTCTGTATGAAGCTTTGGCTGCAGGCAAGGGTCAGAGGCTGAAAAGGGGAAAATCGTGGATGGCTTAAGCAGAAGACACAATAAGACAAGTATGCTGCTGGAGAACATTGGGCGAGGAGAGGAGTGGGTCAGAGTACCAGCGGAAAAGTCTGACCTGTGTAAAGTTATGATCACATTGGGCCGTGTGTGCAGAGAGTGGCCAGCGGGTGCTACAGAGGTTGAAGTCCGTCAGTTGATTCGCGACAATTCACGCCCAGGTGATCTGATTATCTATATAGATAGTTCAGTTTCAAGAGAAAAGAGAAGTGCCTAGGGATTCATAGCAAAAGCCAATGAAAAAATCTTTAGTGCAAGACAGCCTAGCATATGGCACCACAACATTTGGCATGAGAATGGAGGTGGAGGCAGTAACTGCAGCTCTACGGTGGCTAGAAAACAAGATGCATAGACATGTCGTAATTGTAACAGACCATCAAATCGTGTGTGTTTTGCTGACTGAGAACACTTTGTATGGCTTCGGCATACACTTGAAGTATCCAGATATCTGACTCAGTTTGTGACTGGAATCACTGGCATAGGCGGTTGAGCAATTATGGGCCAAGCTCATTTGCTGTGATGCCGGAACCATAATGACTAACAAATGTAACAGACTCTGAAAGCATGCTGAAAAAGGTGAAGACAGGGATGCTTTAGCAGAGTGGCAAGCTTCACTGGAAAGATCACGGGTAGTGAGCATACTTTGGATCTTTTCTCCAGGGTATGTCTGCGTGGTGAGAAATGAACAGGCAGACAAATTGGCTGGATCCGCACCAACAGGTGGTGAACTGATGCATGACAAGGCAGATGTGGTCAAGGTCCTTTGGGAACAAGCAACGGAATCAGTAGAGAAAGAAGATTATTATGGCCTGGAGAGAATGAGGCACCTGGGTGTAACCAGAGGATCTGGGCGGCTCACTACAATCAGAGGAAAGGCAAGACCGACATTGAACAAGATTGTGACAAGTACCATTAGTATTGGAACTCTGCCCTGGCTGCTGAAGATGAGGACGGAGCATGCATGGAAATGCCCCGAGTGCTGTGATGTCAATTCTTGACTCAACTCAACTCTACTAATTATCTTACCAGTAAAATTGTAACATTAAAATTTACTCACTTGAGATAGAAAAAACTGGTTAGCAATCCCAGAATGAAAGCACTGGTTGTGATGAACACAACTCGATCTCTGTTAGGTAACAAGCTGGACATTACACTTGTAATGCACCAACAACTGTTGAATTCTTTTGGAGGCTTTCCCGGAATATTTCTTTGAGTTCCTCCCAAATACAAATAAATTGGAAGTGCATAGATGACAGGGTAAATTTTAAAATGAATGGCTAAAGCATAAAATGCAGCTGAGGCCATGACCCTGCCTTGGACGAGGTATAAGAGAGTCATCAAGACCAGATATGCCATAACCGACTCTGCATTGCCTCTGCTGGAAACTGCTATTGGTAAAGGATTGAGCAGCCATACAAGCGCACAGTTTCTAGCTGTGTAGCGGTCATGGCCTAGATGTATGACAAGTCTGTAGATGGTATGGCCGACCAAGATGTCAAATGTGATGAAAATGAGCTTGCCAAAAAAGAGGCCCAGCCAAACATTGGGAGTGAGAGCCCAAGCTAGGAGTGGTGTGTAGCGGTATGTAGCTCGCATGTATGGGGATTCACCCTGAAAAATATAAACTAACATTAATATTAAATTATTAAATAATGAAGAAATTAATTAGAAATTAAAAGATTAATCTTAAAACTGATGCAGTTTTAAAAACAGTATGGTAGTGCTTCTCTTACTTTTTGTGGCAGCCTTGTTTTGCCCCTTGATTTTCTTGTACTAAGTTACGTAAGGTTATGTAATACTAACTGATGTCACTGCACATTGGGCCTTCCAATATATGCACAGTCCTCCAATGCGGCAGCCATCCCATACTCAATGTTTCCCAGAGAAGTTGTTTACAGTATCTCCTATATTGACTTTGAAGATGACACAGGCATACTTGGCCAGAATTCATTACCAGGTCATGTAATCATGTTGACAACAGCTCAGTACACACAGCGATGACTCTATCCGTGCTGACCATATGTCTTCTCACTTGTATCAGCACACGACTTGCCAGTTGGTCAGCTCATTCAATACCTTATACTCTGGCATGCTCAGTGTGCACAGACATCAATCTGATAATCTAACATAGTTCACAGTGCCTACTGAAGCCCTCCTAAGAGATACCAGTTAGTTGAGTATCCTTTACGGGACGTTGCAGAACCAACCCAAGCATTTTTTGGCTGTTGTGGTTTTCCTAGGCAAATGTTATGTTCACTAGTTTGCCACTGCTTTCTGAACAGACTGCTCTCGGTATCACTGTCAAATCCAACACAAAACAAACCATCCGCAGTTGATATCGAACCCGGCACCCCGGCATTTTAAAGTGTGTTCGCAACGCCTAAGCCACAGACGTCGACAAGAGATACCAGCAAAGATATAATAATGACAGAGATCGTTCATTAGCATTTATAACGACAGATAAAACGGAGTACATCAACACATCTCATTTTATTTTTACTCTTCCTTTAATATTCAATCCTGATAATTCTCCAACATGTTTACAAATGTTTTCTGACTGTAAGTTGAAAAGACTTAGGGATAACAAACATCTTTGATGTACTCCTCTTTTTATCTCTGTGATGAGTCGATGTTGTGTCCATTTGCTCCTTGTATAGTGTTCTAATAATTCTGATATCCTTTCCATCTAGTATGGTACTGTATTTTTGGAGGCATACAACATGCTGCACCCTGTCAAAGGCCTTCCTGTAATCTATGAAACATGCATAAATACTCTCCTGAACTTCTACTGGGGGATACAGAGCAGAAAAAAACTAATTACACTGAATGTAAATAAAGATGGAAACATCCAGCAAGTACACCGATGCTGTTAATTTTTGGAAGTTTCAACTAAGTAACGTTTCTGCTGACTGTATAGGTTAGTTCAGACTTGGTTTACCACAGGAGGGATGTAACAAAACATGCAGACGTCCAGAAGTATTACCTGTGCTACAAACTTAGCAGCATCTGAAAACACATAGTAATCAATGTCTGTAAACTTGACTGCCATGTACGTATCCTGCCATATTCCGTAGAGCATCATAACAATACGGACTACAAAAGCTGCAGCATACCAACAGTGCATGTCCATGAGCATTCTCTGATGAATTAGTGCTATCTGAAAAATACAATGGTTGTATTAAGTGGTAGACGTTAAGTAGACACAACATAAAAACATATACAATATAGAAATATGTATGCAATAAAGAAGTACACAAAGCAGAAAATATAACACAACAGGGAAGTATACACAAAGGAAAAGATAAGACAACAGGGAAGATTACACCAAAAAAAGATAACACAACAGGGAAGACTACACAACAGAGAAAATTACACATATTCTAATTTTAATTTCATTTTGTAAATTATTATATTATTAATAATAATAGCAACGCTACCTCTACAGATGAAAAGCGGCCATTAGAGTGCCACTTCCAGTCATGTGCACTCTAACTTATTGCATCTATGCAAAAATAAAAAACCTAAAACTGACACACCACTCTGTGTGTGTGTGTGTGGTGTGTGTGTGTGCGCACGTGTGTGTGTGTGGTGTGTGTTTGTGTGTGGGTGTTTGTGTGTGTGTGGGTGTGCGCATGTGTGTGTGTGTGAATTTACTTACAGGCTTCACTTAGATATTGTTGGATTAGATCATATTTTAATCTCCATATTTAATATAATATTTCGGCCGGCGTAATGCTGAACACATTACCCACACAGTGCCGATTGGTCTGTAAAAAAAATGGGATGCTCTTCCCATATGCCCGATTGAAAAGAGATCTTTACTATATTTAATTATTTATTATTTGTGATAAGAAAAACGCGTCGGCTCTGTGGGATGCCGGGTTCGACCAGATGCGGGCCATGGGTCTTACGTTGGTTTCGACAGTAATATCAAGAAAATCGACCGTCCAAAGAGCAAAGGCCAACTACTGGACGTAAATTTGCCTAGAAAAACCACACAACAGCCAGGGGCTGTTAAGTTGGTTCTGCAACGTCCTGTAAAGGATACGCAAAACTAACCTTAGTAAAAACGCAATCCACTAGCCACTAGTAAAGTCCCAATGATTTGATAAATGATTACAGGTCATGATAGCAATAGAACTTGCTTTCTTCTATTTCTTAGAAGCATGCAAGGAACTGACAATTGTTAGAAATTACTCTGCATACTGGATTCATTTTACATATCTATCTAGTCCACAAAATTTGATAGTAACCAAATGTTTGTTTGTGCCGCCATCTTTTTAATATAAGAAGGATATAACTCCCTTCTTCCTATATACATTTTCATAATAGTTTCCCTTGAAACTTTAAAACTAAGTGAGCAAGAGGCAGGCTGTGATTCAAGTGGGAAGATAGCATCAAGAGATAGACGAACAGCAGCCTAACTGTACATTCAGAGGGTCAGACAGAGCCGCCTGAAAATCCACTGCAGCCAACCTTCTCTGTGGATACGGCACATTATTGTCATTTCGTGTATCCGTGCATGTAGTTTTGTTTTTCTTTTTGTATTTGTAATTCCGCTACAATGATTCTTCAACAGACTGTTTCTTATCCTGAATTTACATTCTCCCAGACTGCCCTTTGTTCCTTTCTCAATGTTATCGTCCCATTTGTAACGCTGTCTACCAATTGTTTGCCTTCAGCTTTGTTCTTTTTGTATGTTAGTTAGTTAGTTAGTCTTTCCTCTTGTGTCGAGTGCGGCACATAGGGCAGAGGTCATGACTCTCCATGCATGGCGGTTCGTTGCAATCTGTTGTAGGTCTTGGATGTTTGAGTGGCCCATGAGTGAGCCTTTCCTGATGATAGTTCTACGTAGTTTCCCTTGGTCTTCCACGAGATCTTTTCCCCTGTGGTGTCCAAATGAGGGCTTGGTAAGGAAGTCTTGATTTATCCATTCTAAGGGCGTGGCCGACATAGTTCCAGCGGCGTTTTCGTATAAAATTAGACACATACTTTTGCCTGGATTCTTGCCTTATTTGTGTATTGGTTCGGAAATCTGACCATTTGAAATTTAGTATTCTTCTAAGGCATTTATTTTAAAAACTGTCTAATTTTGTGTCTAGAGTTTTCGTTGATTTCCAGCTCTCGCATCCATAGGTTAGTACTGGAATCACACAAGAATTGAAGATCTTGAGTTTTGTGTGTTTGCTAAGTGTCTTTGATTTCCAGATGTTGGACAGTTTATTGGAGGCACTAGATGCCAGTGCTATTCTAAATGGCATTTCTGGTGCGGTATCTCCTGTAGATGACATCTTGTTCCCTAGATAAGTGAAACTGTTGACTTTTTCAAGGCTGTTGTTGTTCAGCGTGATATCAACTGAACTGTTGGTAAGGTCTAGAATTTTTGTTTTTGCGGTGTTAATTTGGAGTCCAATTTGTTCTGAGAAATTCTGGAGTCGATTGATTTTTTCTTGGGCGTCTGTGTGTTCTGAACTCAGGAGTGCTATGTCGTCGGCGAAGTCTAGGTCTTTCAGAATTGTGTCAACCCATGTAATGCCTAAATTTGCGTTATTTATGCACTTGCGCATGACCCAGTCGATTGCTATACCAAAAAGCATCGGCGATAGGACACAGCCTTGCTTCACTCCTGTTTCCACCGGGAACCAGTCAGAATTGCCGGAATCAGTTCTTACACAGCATCGTGTTTCATTATAAAAAGATTTTATGATGTTGATATATTTGATGGGGAAACCATAGATGTTAAGCAATTTCCAGAGTGTTGGACGATGGATACTGTCGAAGGCTTTTTGGAAGTCGACAAAGTTGATCAATAATTTCGACTGGAATTCTGTAGAATCTTCAATAATTATTCTAAGAGTAAAGATGTGGTCTATGCATGACCGCTTGGATCTAAAACCGGCCTGTTCTTCCCTTAATCTTTCATCTATGGATTTATTCAATCTTTCTAGTAGCATACTACAAAATAGTTTCCCTGGTATCGAAAGCAGGGTGATGCCTCTCCAGTTGTTACAATCGGATAAATCACCTTTTTTTAGGTAATTTGAAGATTACACCATCTTTCCATTGATGTGGTGGGTATTCGTTTTGCCAGACTTCATCCATCAGCTGGAGCAAATGTTGCAGGGTGTTTTCATCCGCTGCTTTGAGCATTTCCCCTGAGATGTTGTCCTCTCCGGTAGCTTTGTTTATTCTTAATTTTTTAATAGCTGTTTTAATCTTCTCTATTGTGAATGACTCGCTGGAGGCAACTAGTGTCGGTGTAATAATTTCTTCTTCTAGATTGGGAATGATGTCAGGATTTGGTCTATTTAATATTTCCTTGAAATGTTCTGCCCATCGCTTTGTTTGTTGGTCGTCGGATAGCAGTAGTTTACCCTGCTTGTCTTTAATGGGTGTATTTAGTGTAGGTGAGTGATTGCACACCCGTTTGATACATGGTTCTAACATTCCAGTAACCAATTTTAAAGATGTCCTTCGAATTTAACAGATTAGAACGAATCATCATGCAGTTAGAGCCAGAAATCTGATTCTACAACAATTGGTGGTTTGCGATGACAGCTTGTCGGACCGTCGATCAACCGATATGCGCCGAGTTAGAGAGAAACACGTCCCGGCATCTTGACACAAACCGGAAATGTATGTAGGACGACTTTTAATGTCGTTAAAATATGTATCAACCATTTTGTAAATTTAGGTCATACAACAAGGACTGTGAAAGGACGGATAAAGTAAGACAATGAGAGAAGATTCTTGAGTCTTGTTACATAGAATAAAAGTGTATCAGCAAATGAACAATGGCAAGATATGGAGTAAGCGAACACCTCATCGAAGTGTGCAAAAGTTTATACAGGGATTGTAGAAGTGTAGTTAGAATAATCAGGGAACATCTCATCCTTTCACAGTGACATCTGGAGTAAGACAGGGGTGTGTCTTATCACCACTGCTGTTTATCACCTACATCGACAGTATATGCAAGAATGCCAAGCCCATGAATGAAGATCTTAGTAAGATCAACGAATTACTCTTTGCAGATGACAAGGCCTTGATAGCAGATACAGCCATGAAATTGCAACAACATCTAACATCCATAAATGAAGAATGTAAAACAAATAATATGAGAATCAACACTGAAAAGACAGAAGTAATGTCAATAGGAAAAAAGAAGAAAGATCTAAACATAGCAATAGAATACAAAGGCATTAAACAGGCATCTGAGTTTAAATATCTGGGAACTACATTTACCGAAGATGGTAAATTTGATAAAGAAATTGACATTAGATGCATTAAAGCAAACCAAGTATTGGGACAGCTAGCCCCCCTCTTACAGCATTAGACAATCCCAATCAGCACAAAGAGACATCTTATTCAAAGCATATTTATTCCAACTCTGTGCTACCAGTGCCAGACCTGGTCACTCACAACAAACCATACAAGAAAATTAGTAACCACGGAAATGAGATGTCTGAGAAGGGCTGTAGGAGTGACCATAAGAGATAAGATCAGGAATGAGATCATAAGAGAACAAGTCAAAACAGAACCAATTCTGGATTACATACAAAGACAGCAAGTGAAATGGTTTGCCCACTTAGAGAGAATGCCTTGTGACACCATACATGGAAAGAGAAGAAGGACGTAGAGCACGGGGTAGACCAAGAACAAGATGGAAGGATAACATCAGAGGAACTCTACAACAGCACGATGTGCCTATGGTCGAGGCAGCCAGAAGAGCTAGAAACAGAACCTTATATCTCCCTCGACACCCACAGCGGTAAAAGAAGAAGTGAAGAAGAAGAAGAAGCAAATGAACTGATACATGCTGCAGAAGATCACAGATTGTTGAGAGACATGATCGCCTGAGCCAGTCAGCAAGGTATCTGACGATGTTGATCGACAGTTTGCCGACAAGTATAAAGCAGTTTGTCAATGTCTCTAAATTAAGCGAGATTACATGAATTTCTGATATATTTTTTTTTGCACTCTATCTATCTATCTATCTATCTATCTATCTATCTATCTATCTATCTATCTATCTATCTATCTATCTATCTATCTATCTATCTATCTATCTATCTATCTATCTATCTATCTATCTATCTATCTATCTATCTATCTATCTATCTATCTATCTATCTATCT